AGCACATAGAATATGACAAGAAAATGGTTATAATTAGTGCTGGGCATTGACACACATTATATATTACTATTAAAAAAAACGGATTACATAAGACATGATAAATTTCATTAAGTTGTACTGTATTGCTCAACATACTTTATGATGCTTACTCACGTTTATTTCATGTTATAACTAGCAGTAAAGAGGAAGATCGATGTTTGTAATCTAGCTTGTAAGCCACTGGCTAGCTAGTACGCTAACTAACGGTTACAGTAATGCTCGTCAGTAAAAACTAATAAAGTCTGCCTTTTCTTTTCCTCAGAAATGATAGCACACACTGTGACAATATAGTTTATAAGTAGATCACCAAAAACTTACCTAATCTTGCGGCCACATTTCAAACACGATCCGACTCTGAAGTTCAATTCGTTGTCTTCTTCTGGTGATGTTTTGTTTAAACCAACCTTCTGCCACCTATTGGTGCACTTCCGCCACCTACTGGTCTAGAGTTATTAGGGCACATAGTGGGATTTAATCCCACAAACTAGATGCTTTTAAGCACTGTTTACTAAAGTTGTTTAGTTTAACTATTGCATCCACCTGAAAGTTCACATAACACAGTGTAATTAAGTAAATTCAACAAATTTGTAAAAATCAGTTATGTTTACTCGCTTTTCTTAAGTAGATTCAGTGATTACTTTTTACAGTGCAGTTAGCAGAGTCTAATTTAGACAGAAAGCAAGAGGAGCATGAATTATTAAATGACTCCGAAGCCAGGTGAAGTGAAAAGGACAAAAAAGAAAAGAAAAAAACAGCCTGTGACTGGCTTCAAACACAATACTAGGAATAAGTAAGACAAGGAAGAGTAAGCTTAGCAATGACAAACCTCTCCACCTGCCTCTTACATAATTCTTAGAGAAGTCTCTGTTTCATGCAGGGTGAAACACTGCTCTCAAAACAACAAACTGGTATAGTCAGGTAATTACATGAAATGCAACAACAGAAGCTAGAAAGGTAAACTCGTGCAATATCACGAAGGAGAAATTATAAAAACATAATCCTTCCCCAGGGCAGAATGAGTGCAGCTAAAGAGAACTACAGGATCAATAGCCTACATCAGGGTCTTCTGGACACTTTTTTGGAATGTTACATCTCATGTCCGCCCTTGAACCAAAGAGCCCCCAGGCCTTGTTCTCATTTCCATCTCATTAACAGCTTATCATCATAAGCTCCATTTAACTGCTCACTGCCTAGAGAATTCATAGGAATCTCCATCAGGCCTCTTTACTAACTTGAATCAAAAGCAAGTGAAACGTACAACAGCTCTACCCATATAGTGCATACTCTCTTCAAACTCTTGGTTAAGTTCATTAGTTTACACAGTCAATAGATGATTTTACCTTGAATCAAATCAATTTTCTTTAAGTCACAAAATGTGTGTATAGGAGACTGGATCTACTTGGAGATGTCACAGATTAACCATCATACTATATCAAGATTTCACTATATCTCAAGGACTATGAGGTTTTCAAATAAAAGTTCAATAACACAAATCACAAAAGACTGTTGCAACTAGCTATTCCAAGTTAAAATTTACCATTATAATAACTTCCCTGGATTGGACATGAGATAACTCAAATATCAAAGTTAATAAATGTTCCAATGGTTTGATATTTGTTATATAGGCTACATTTAAAATTTCTGCTGTTTCATGAATTGGTCTAATTGTTTTAGTGCAATAAATAATAATATATAAAATAAATAATAGGCTGTATAATGGATTGTTTAATGGGAGGTTCAATTGTAACTTAACCCATATCTTTTTTCCTGAGCAGAAACGGTGAAAATGTTCAATAGCTTTCTTGTAGCCAAAGAATTAAGGTATGTATGTCCCAATACAGAAATTGACTTTCAAAAATAAACCTACCATGACAAATATTCACTGCAGTAAAAAGTAATTCTGGAAGCAAAATCTGAACACATTACCTTTTGATCCTGCCAAACCAAACTGATATTAACATGACATTAGAAAAGGGGGAAATAGTTAGACACAGTATGTTCTAATGAGAATATTCAGACCACTAATTCAGGGCCTGTTCAGCTAAGAATGAAATCATTTTAGGAGACAGGGAGAAGATTCCAATAGGCATTTGCACACTGGCATTACTGTGTGTGTGAAGAGGCGAGCTGAGATCATATGTAAGAATTTATTGCCATGTAAAATCTAGTGTCTAATATTGCCGCATATAAATCTTGACCATGTGCCATGGTATCTCATGGTATTTTCTTACATACTGAAAATCTGGAATCAGCACAGTTTTAGAACAGAAGTGATGAGTGTATTTTCCATTTTTATAATGATTACAGTATAATGTATCATACTGATTCACATTTCTCACTGAAATGTGAGGAGACAGTTTCACTCCCACACACACCCAGGAAAAAAACTAAAAGATCTGTCAAGGCCAAGCTGATGCACAGGAACCAATGAGTCACCATCCTGAGACGCACTGTAATTTTTGCAATAATAAAAAACAACGTGCTCAAACTACAGCTTTGTCAATAGCAATCACTCCCTGCCAGGAGCAGGTTTACTTTCCAAATGCATAATTCTCAGATTTAAACAGTGCGTTTAATGGATCAGCAAAGTTTACATTTATAAACATACTATTTCTGTGTGGTACTATATGTATCTGTATATATGTACAGTGTAGATTGTGCCTGGCCGCTATACCAATGATTTATTTATTTATTCATTTATTTTTTAAAACATACAGCTGGTCATTGTTTAGGCTGTACTGTGCAGCTTGTAAAGTGCATCGAAACCTGCACTGTGCTAAAGTGGTAACTCAAGCCGAGGGGTTTTGTGTGAGAGATATCTTGACACAGAGATACAGAAAAGGCTTACAGGGATTTCAAGAGGACTTTTAACAACACAGTTGTCAAAGCCAAAAAAGCTAAAATTTCTCAAAGCACGTCTGCTGCTAAATATCATACATATTGAATAAATGTTGTAGGTGTTCTAAATATCAAATTTCATTTTTTTCTAATTAAAAATGTCACAATTCATTAGCGGTCAAAATATAAATTCTGACAGCTTTTCATAGGTTTTTTGCAGCTTGGTGTGCATTTTATACAATACTTTAAGTGTGTGGAAGTTCAAGTGAGCAATTAAATTCAAGTATTCCCTGGTCCTGTCGTGTCTATACTTAGAAGACTCAAACTAACTGAGACAGCAGAGAGAAAGAAAAAGAAAGACTGTTTGCAAGGGTGAGAGACAGGTGATATAACAAAAATGTCAGCAAGATGATAGATAGGGACAGCTGGGCTGCCACAGTCACATTTACATACTTCCAATAACAATTTAACTTCATAAAATACAAAGTTATGTATTTTTAAAAATCCAATATTAAAGTTAGCCAAAATATGTGTAATGGTGATCGTTTTCCAAAGTCTACTATCAGCAGCAGTTTTAATATATTTAATTTGAGATAAACTAGACAACTACAATTTGAAGGAAATTCTGTGTTTGTGGTTTCAGTTACAGACCAGATATTTAAGCAACTGACACCCATATTCATTGACACTCAAATCATATATAAAAAAACTGACCTAGAATACATTCTAAATGATCTGTCATGGCTCAGGCTGGTTTAGTTACCTGATGAGGTGCGTTCTATGTGTTCCAGGAAAAGCAATTATAGTCAATTATATGATTAAGACTTTTGTTACCTTAGATAAAATTGTGATATTACAGTGAGCATATTCTTCAAAACTTCATAACAGTCTAGCTTCTACCAGGTTTTAAAGGTGTATATATAGTATTCATGTTAATTGCATTCTAATATCAATCACTCTCATTGGTCCTTAGTTTCAAATGTCAAGGTCAGAAACAACTGTGAAACATAATTTGACCTATATATTTATTATGTCTGCTGCTACTATAAATGACTTTTAGGTTTATGCACACACAAGTTGCCAGCTGCCCTCAATTAACTATTAATCTCATTATCAACTGCAGGGCAATCAGACAGTTTAACAATGAGAGAGAGACAGGTATAACAGAGAACAAGATTGGAAACCAACAAAAGACATACTCTTGGCATATTAGTGGTAGTAAAGAATGTCAGACTTGGGAGAAAACAAATTAAATCGAGTGTGAGAAGTAACAAAAATGAGAAGGGAACAAGTAAATGTAATCCATGAGTGAGCAACACAAACATGAAACACTTGACATGAATTCCTTATATTCCTTAAGTCCTTTCCTCTTTTTTGTAAACACAATATAAAGAGCTCCTCTTACCTTGTCACTCACAACCGAGTGACCATGATCTCTTCCACTCCTCACAGTCTACTTCATCTACTGTTGACATCCAACTCAAATCGAAACAGGTGAGGCCTCATCCACTGGTAAGGTTCTTTTCAAAAGTCCTTAACTACTGTAATCCACAGTCAAGGAAAAGAGAGAGAATCCTTATGCTGATTATTTTTATCTGCTCACTTCATGAATTAATCTAATAGTTTCTGAAACTTGTGCAAACACACTGCACAATTCAGGTTTGCTTGACCACACACCCTCCCTCTACACACTCACAGAAGCTCTGACAGCAGTTGTGGGTTTCCAGCCACTCCTACTCTCTCCTTCTCAATCTCTATGGCTGTTGTCAGGCAACCGGCTTCAGGGGAGGTCCTGTGGGTGAAACTGAAAAAGCTGCACACTGGCTCATGTCTTAAGCATTTGCATATGCAGGTACACCTACCTAGTCACTGTGGCAACAAGTGCAGTTTGAAAGCTGAGAGGCTTAGGGACTTAGGGAAACATTACAAAAACTCAATTCAAGTGAAACATTTTCAGATTCAGTTATAAAATGAAAAAATCTAAACACCTGTAAAGAAAACTTTCAAAAGATTTGCTGTATCACCAGCAATCGCACAAAAGGGGAAGTTGGGGGAGATTATATAAATTGCAACACATCACACACAAAGGTGCCAAACCTCACAATTTCACTTCCTTCCTTGCAAGACCAGTTTGTATTGTGTGTTTGCGCATGATTAATTGTGAAACTGGATTTGTGGTTGTATTGCACTATTGCAGACTTGGAAACATCTCTTCTCTCAAAAAGCCCTCTTATATCTGCAATCTCTCAGAGTAAAATTTACTCTTACTACTGTTACATCTGCTCTGAAATCTAATTGTGAAAAACAAATTAGATGTACAAGAGCATTAAATGCTAATTTATTTAACTGAACTGTCCTGTTACCTCCCACCCTAATCTAACAAATTACTTGTGACTTCTAAAGCCCTGTGACCATGAGACCCCAGTAGCATAATCCCTGAAGACACTTGTTCACAAACAAAGCCCAGTTTAAAGAAATAGCATACACCTGCTGGTCCATACTAGACCAAATGAGCCATGTGCTGACTCCGTACTTGTCCCATTTCTTCCCTTTCTGAAACATGTATTGTTGATTTTTGTCTTCTGACCTGTTCTCTTCTCACACTTCCTGTATGTCTCTTCATATCAAGTTTTCTCACTGTGTTTTGCTTTAGCTTAGGTAAATGTTCTTCATCCACACCTGTCTTCAGTTTCTCACTTCATGTCACATTAATACTAATATTAATAAGTGACCCCAAACCACACAAAACCACAGCCAGCTCTTTCTGCCAAACCTCTTGAGGGAAGTTCAAAACTAACACACTAGTACGTTTACGGCTCTTATTCTTCCTGGCATCTCATTTGGACAGTGGTATCTTGTTTCTCCTGGTGTTTGTCGGAGGAACAAAAAAACAGATGGTGTCAATTTTCTCTAACTCTGACCTTGGATTTTCTCTTACACATTTTAGCTTCTTGATAAGAAAAAGATTGAGAGACATTGGAGAATGATTGAGAAAAAGAGAAAGAGAAATGAGGCTGTTTGGGGGGGTGTCTCTTTCGTGGATGGGTGAATGAAAGCTAATTATCTGGAAAGGAATGTTTTCTCATGGGCTCTCTCAGAGAGAGTTTGGCCACAGGTCAACCAATGGCAGCAGTTTATTTGTTTATGCAATTTGTTAAAGGTTTGTGCCCCTTTCCTCATAAAGGCTATCAGTGATTCTATTCAGACTCTGCAGTCCAGAGTATAATTCACATGGACAGACTGAATAAAAGCCTTCAAATGACTTGTTAATATGTTAGCTTGAGATATATTACAGCCCACTGTGAATAAAAGTTCAAATAAGTAGACAGCCTAGGCAGAGTGTGTATAAGGCTGGGCAAGGCTTAGCCTTCCCCTAGCCACGATTTGGAAATTTAATGAGAAGGTGCTTGCTGGAGAGCCAAAGGTTGGAGCTTGACGTCCAGCTCCCCCTCTCTGGATATAATGGTGGTGCTTGAAGGTCCAATCATAACCCTATCCCTAAGCATAACTAGGTCAAGCTCCACCCGTTAGGTCCAAAGAGGTGGGACTGGTCTAGGTCAAGTGTCCGTGTCCTTTTTTAACCATGGTGAAAAAAGAATGGCTGTTGTATTTTTAAATGCTATGTTGAAAACCAAAATTTAAATTACAACCCTAACACAAAATGCTGCCCAAGAAAGTAAAAATATTGACTTCTTTTCAGATGTTTATTTATGACTTTTTACACCTTTAATAAACACCTTTAATTTTCAAAATGCACAAATTAATATAGAACAATTTAGATATTACAAGTTTTCTTTGGCCAAATTAGAAGTAGACCTAATGCTTTTTCTGCATGTTCAGTTGAGAACTAGAGCCGTTTCTGAAACAATACAGAGAGCTAATATATTAGGCCTACTTTAAAATAGGGTTTTAAAATAGATATATAGAGGACCAAGCACGTACAGTACATCGTGTTAGAGCGCTATACAGAGGAGCCTTTAATATGGTAAATATATAATTATAATATAGAAATATATATAAACATGATCCTCATTTCACATTGTAGGATCTCAGCTGTCATTAATGTCAGACAGTATGAAAGTCAAGAAGTGTTAAAAACAGACCCATGCGAGAAAAATCAACCCATGACACGTTCGGTGAAGGTGAGCTGCATACACACAGGAATGAAATGGTGGCTAATGGTGTGTGTCTACTGGCGTGGAGCAGAGCGAGCGTTTTCAGTTCATTCCTATGAAAGTTGAGCTTCAGAGTTAAGTTCAACTTCTATATAAATTAATTAAAAGTGCTCGCTCTGCTCCACTCCTGTGGACACGCGCTATAACAACGAAAACTCCAGCATTAATTTTGATCTTGGCTGTCTTGAAAAACTAAGACAATTAGATGTTCATTGTAGGATAATTCACACCCCTGATAGCACACGTCTATTTGACATCTGAATTTACATCTGCAAGATGTAGAGGGTTTGCTCATCTGCAGTACGTCTATAGGAGGTTTCCTATCAGATGACAAATAGATGTTTAGAAAATGTCTTAAAATGTTTATGATTTAGAATGTTATGTAAAAATGACATCTTAAAGACATGTATCAGATGTTTGTACACAACAGATGCTTTCCAGATGAATCGATCTTTAACAGATATCTTGCAGACGTACTTGTTCTATGGGACTGCAGGGCTGTGCGCCAAATCTTCTGACATTGCCAGAATTTCATCAGAGGTAAAACTGGATCACAACAGTCATTAATCGGCAAAGAGCACTCCACTTATAATCACTAAAAAGCGTCACTCATTTCAGTTGATCACAATCTCACAAAGTTCCGTTATAATCAATGAAGCTGTACACTGCACAATGAATCTCTTATTGACATCATGTTACAGATTGTTATAATGAGAGACTCCCGAACTTGCAGCACTGAACAAAACTGTGGCGTTTTGAGCGGTGAGTGGATTCTAACTTAAATGCTTGGCCATTGCATTAAAAAAATCAGCAAAAAATGTTGATGATTGGCTACAATGATCAATGTTACAAAAACATGTTGAAAATAGAAACCTTTGAAGCTCTCCAGAGTTCAAACACAAATGCAAACTGGAGTGTTTGGAAAATAAGTTTGGCCAGTATCCTATTTCTACAGCTTCAACTGTGGTGCTCTTGCTTTCATTTCGTTCCCTCTAGCACTCCTGTAGAACCGGCCCTGGATACAATTAAATGCAAAGAAATATGTAATGAGTAATTCATACATGTTTTTAGGCGTGAAAAATTATCGAGATCATAAAAATGTCAAAGCCAAAGGTTTTCATAAAGCAATAGTTTACCGGTAGCCACGCCAGTAGCATGAGACGGCGCTTATAGCATCTGTATAGAGATGCTAAAAAAGCTAGAAATTTAATTTTGCATTTATATACATTAAAAAACAAGTTACCCTTCTAGGGAACTCGCGCTGCGTCCTCTAGCGGACACTTTGGGGACTGCCACCAGCAGAACTGGTTTCTGAAGCACCTGTGAAACAACTACAATCCCATTGGCCCACATAACCCGTGATGTTTCAGGCAGGTGACCGGAAGCAGAAGAGGTCGCATGCTGAACACGTCACCAACTTTTGTTGTCTTCGGGAGCTGTTTGTTTGACAGTGCGTGAGAAGGCGTTATGCAGAAAATCAAGGCAAGTGAGCATTTTAGAAAGTGTGTTCCTCCGTGTCCTAGATTTCTGACACCCTAGGACACACATGATCTAAGCGTTATGTGTCTTGGTGAGGAGCATACA